ATGGGTCCTGGACTCCATCCAGCTGTCTGTGCCAGGGATGGTCGGTGGGAGGGCACCCAGGAGGACCTGATGGCCACTGCCATTGACAGACAACTCGGGGCAGACACGAGGCCACCGGGCTGGCAGAACCCCCGCCATGGCCAGCTGTGCACCTGACCCCACTACGGAGCACGCCCCTCCCCACCCTCTGCAGCCCCTACTGCTACGCCTCCTGCCACCACATCCGACCCCCCTGCTCCTCTACAGCCGCCCATACCCCTCCCACCAGCTGGCACACCGGCCCCCTCGCCCACATATGTCACTCCCCACGGTGCCCTGCACCTACCCATCCGTCTGCACAACTCGCCCACGTGCCACACAGCAACACAACCTCCCCCACCTTCCCACACGGCACTGGTCCCTTCAAGCAAAACTCCCTCGGGGAGCGGGCCACCTCTGTCCCCTCCTAGTCTCCTTCCTGCTATTTTGCTACCTGGCACACGCTGTGACATACATGTGCACCACAAAGCTGACCAACACAGGACCATGTGTCCTACCCAGCCCTGAACACACGCAGCCCCTGCATTCCTTCCCGTCCCTGTCTCCCCAGAGGTGACCAGTCCCCTGGATTGGTCCCTTGCTGCACAGGCGTAGGGACACTGGTGAGACTGGACCCCATGAAGCGCTGGCAGTTGTCCCTCGGCATCGTGGGGACTGGTTCCAGGGCCTCTGACCCCAACCGAGGCACCCAACTCTGAGTCTCTCATGCAACGATGCAGTGACCACACAGAAGCTGACGCTCGCTCCTCCTGCACACCGAGACACCGCCAATGACACGCGACGGCTGACCCGGAGAAGAGTGCCATGTCAGCTGGGAGCCTGTGCCTGTTCGCACCTCAACCTGAGCTGAGTCAGGAACAAGCGTGAACGTACGGGGCCAACGTGTGAAGGCACTGCACACGCAAGGCAGACTCCATGTCAACAGCGGGGCCGCAGACTCCCGGCCAAGGCTGCGTCTATCCAGGTCCCCGAGAAGGCACAGAAGTGCCCAGGGCCAGAGTGTCTGGTGAGCGAGCCTCACCTCGGCGCCCACAGTGCCTCCCACCCCACTGAGGCTGGGCACCTTCCCCTCGCGTCCAGGCGATCTGCAGGAAGGACGTAACTTGCCCTCCTTCTGCGCCTTCACATACGTCTTTCAATCCACTTGCAGGATTCCTAAAAGCCTGGTAGAACTGTAATGGACAGAGACTCCTCTGGGGAAGACAGACATCTTCACAGAATCCACTCCCATCCTCCAGACAGAAACACTGGGGGGCCTGATTCTAACAGGACCGCGTGACCCTCAGCTGTAGTCTCCTCCTGGTGGGTGTGGTGGGTTTTGGGGATGTGATGTCACTCATGTTATGGGGCGTAGCCGACCGTAAAAAGAGGTGAGCATCTCAGTGGGCCTGACCTTAAAAGCTTGTGGGTTCAATTTTTGTTAATTAAAAAAAATTTGTTTTAACTTTTTTTGAGATAAGGTTTCACTACGCAATTCAAGCTGCTCTTGAACTCACTGCGATCCTCCTGCCATGTGCTAGGATTACAGGTGTATGCCACCATGCCCAGCTGGTCTCCTGGAGGTAAGGGGCATTTGAGGCAAGGCATGCTGTCTGCTGCTGTGAAGACCAGGGACCCGCATGGCAAAGGAATGCAGAGGGCTCTAAGTGGCCCCAGCTGACATCCAGGAAGGGCACAGGAGCAACAGACAAAGGCACACACAGCTGAATGCGACCAGTAACTCAAAGGAGACGAGAGGCTAACACATGCCCAGAGCACCCAAAAGGGATGCAGCCCCAACACCTTGGTCTGGCCTCTGAAACCCCAAACAAAAAAGCTGCTGAGCCCCTGAGGGTGAGTGACCCAAAGCTGTGAGCCCCAGATGGCAATATGTTAAGCTGGTAAATATGTGGTGACTTGTTACGCAGCAGAGGTGACTAATATATCCTCTGTTCATTCCAGTCCACAATGGTTGATTTTCATGTTTCAAGTTTTGAGGGCTTGGGGGTAGATTTGCAGTGGTGAACAGTGAACCCAATCTTCTGCATGCTAGGCAAGCGCTCTACCAGGATGCCACTTGCCCTGGCCTTGGAGTTTCCTGTTAACGACCTTCAATGTCTTTCATTCATATTTATTATATTTTACTATTTAAATAACATAGAGCTTCTAGCAATTTTCAGCTAATATTTACAAAAACTGCTTTTAGGGTGCTCTTACTAGTAAGCTATTTCGCTAAATTCTTACTACTTTTCTTAACTGGTTTTTGTATGTAGAACATCATGTTACTTGTGAATAAGAGGTCACATGTCCTTCAGTGCGGCTTTATCACCTGCCACACCTGTCTGCTTCCACTTAAGGATCAGCAGACATATCCTCCTCGAGAAAGCTCCGTCAGGCAGCCGGGCTCAGTGGCTCTGTGGGGACTCAGCCAAGCCCGGGAAGGGCATCTGCAAGAGGGCAGTAATGCAAAGATGCCTGTTTGCAGGGAAACTGAGCAAGTAGCATACTGAGAAGGAGAACCAGTCAGAGAAAAGCCTCACAGCCATGGAGAAGGGGAGACCTGGAAGGCACCCAGGGCTGGGGACCCCAAGGCACGGGTGTAGGCAGGTGCACGTTCCCTAGCTCTGTCCTCTGGCTGGGCAGCAGGGCCTGCAGCTGCCAGCAGGTCCCACAGCCGCACTGTGGTTCCCAGACACTCGTCTTCTTGGGAAGGAGCGAGGCACTTCAGAAGCAGCTCCATCACCAGGCAAAGGGGCTCCTTCCAGCCGGGACCCACTGAATGAGGAAAGCCCTGATCCACACTAATGGGAGCAAGAAAACAGAGGAAAGGAGGAGGCAGGAAAGAGAAGGCATGAAGACTGAGGAGGAGTAAGGGTCTGAGGTCTCCAGCCTCCACCCCAGTCCACAGGGGACAGGCAGTGGGGGCCACTGGCCACCTCACCACTCGAGGACTGGGCATCCACCCTGGGGACCCTGAGCCTACACCAGCCCTGCCCAGCAGTGGGATCTGAGTCAAACCACCAGGGGGCCTAGCCTGGAGGTCATCTTCCAAAATCACTGACTTTCTTCACAGTGTTGCCATTGGGAAGGCCCAGAAGACTGAGCCACTGTCGGAAAGTTACAGCAACACCCTGCAGGCCATGCAGGTCCAGAGCCCTGCTCCTGATGGGGACACAGCACCCTGAACAGGCGGCAGCGACCTGCAGTGACCTCGGGAAGGGTCCACAGGGCATGGGCTGCAGGCAGCTGCCCCTGTGTGCTGGAAACCTCTGTACAGAGAGCACAGGCACAGACCCCCACTCCATCCGGTGACCCTGAAGTCACTCCCCTGACAACTGTCCTCCAGGCTGTCCCCCTATTACTATCAGTATCAAATACGAACAAACCTCAGCAAGCACTCTCTTGGACCCACTCCACCCCATCTCAGCAGGAGCTGGTGGGGGGCCAGCACCTCCTCAGGAAGGGCAGCCAGTCGGCCAAGCGCAGGGGTGGAACCAGCCACCTAGTGCCCACCTTTGGGGTCACAGGTAACAGTAGACACCAGGGCCCAGGCCAGGCTTCCAGGAAGGCTCCAGGCTGGGAAACAAGACCAAGCTCAAGTGCCAATCGGGTGGCAAGTGGCATCCAGGCAGGCAGAGACCTTGGTGCCTGGCCAACACCCTGGCTGACCATATTTGTCCCCAGCCTGTGGACCACTTAGACTGCAGTGGTTTCTTTTCAGGGCATGCAGCATTGAGGCCACAGGCGTCTGCACAGCCACTGGAGCCCCTCTACAGCTCCGCTGTGCCCTCACTCCCTGACCTGCCCCCAGTGTCCACCAGGGCCAGCAGCCCCCATCTGTTCCACTGCTGAGTCCAGGTCAGGGTGCCCCGCCATCAACCATCTGACCCCCACCAAAGTCCCTGTGGGGCAGGCCAGGGCACAAACGTCATTCCATACCCCATGAGTGCCAAGGAGGCTCACACTGAGCCCCAGCCTCATTCCCAGGGGACCTGACAGAGACAGATCCACAGAGAAAGCAGCTTCAAGTCAGCCTGGGAAGCGCAGTCAGCGCTTTTAGCGGTCACAGGCTCGTGAAGCATTAGGAGTCAGCAGAACCCTCTCTTCCACTAGGTGGCGCCCAAACCTCAGCAGAAAGGACATCAAAACAGAGCCAGTGCCAGGAGCAGCAAGTCCTCACTTGACCGCAGGCAGCGGTGCAGACCGGTGGGTACAGACTCCAGCCGAATGCTCCTCTAAATCCTCTCCGCCCACCAGCTTCCAGGAAGGTGGCTTGGGGAGAAAGGGCCTAGGAGTGCCCCACAACTGCAAAGGCCCCAAACTCAAGGGTGAGGCAAACGCCCAGGACTTCAGACAAGACCCAGGGCCATACAGACGCTGTGCCTAGGACCTAACAGCCTCACCAGCATCTGCACCACAGCCAAGCAGCATGTCACATGGCACTTTAGTCCTTTTTCAGTCATGTCATCCTTGAATCCCACTTCCAGACCCACTGGGGCAGACTAGAGAGGAGCTTACTTCCAGTAGTGGGTTGGCACCTGTGCCCTTGATCCCCTTGCAGCCCGCAGCAGACATCACTCATCGATCCTAGCATGCATCACACACTGATTCTGGTAGGCATCATTCACGATCTCCACATTCCCTTCCATGGAGACCTCCATTAACCACACACCCAGTCACTGTAGCCAGCACATGAAGTGTGACAACCACTAATCAACCTGTACTAGGGCAAATAGTGACAACATGGCCTGTCACACACCATTCACTTCCTCCATTTGCCAATCCAGCCCCGACTACCATATACCCTGGACCCTACTGCAGGCTTATAAGCCTTTTGAGCAAATTACTAAAAGGTGCTCTTCACAACAGGTAGAAACCCAACTGCCAGGATACACCCTCAAGGCCAGGTGCCCTTGCACAGTGCACAACCTAAGCAACTTTACCCAGCAGCTTGCTTCAGAAAAGTAGGACCAGAGTCATGCTGAAGTCAGAATAACAATCTCCTTGTTTACAAAACTTAGTGGTGAAAAGAAGTGGCATTTGGACCCATAAACACACCCAATCACACACACACAATCCATGAAATAATAAAATAGTCAACATTCCCTTCGTGTGAAACACCCAGCATCCCCACTTCAGCCTGGAATCTGGGAGTTACCCTGTGCAGGCCCTGTGCAGGGTTCCGGCCCCGAAGGCCACCAGCAGCTAAGGCACCATGGAGGCTGCAGGGCCCGAGGGGAAGGCCTCTACTCCCTCCTTGCCAGCTGTCTTCAAGGTCCCTGTGAAGTCACCATCTCTTTAGGGAAGTGACCATCTCAGCTCCCGAAAGCAGCTTGGAGGAGACAGCAGCACAGCTCAGGGCTGGACCGTGGCAGGGCAGAACCCGGACCGTCCTCGCCCCACCTCCACCTGTCCCGAGACGTGGTCTGTCAAAGGCATGGTTGCCCCTGCCTATTCCATGACGCATCGGCCCCAGGCGCAAAGGCCACCTGGATGTCACCTGCACAGCCACAGGTGGGGGTGACAACGCAGCTTGTCCGTCAGCTCCTCGTCCCCAGGCTCCTCCAAGATGTCCCTGCGGAGAAGACACACAGGCGCTCAGGAGGAATTGACCCAGGTCGCTCAGAACACACGGCCACAGCCACAGGGAGGCCTGGCAGTGCCAGGCTCCGGGGTCCTTGAAGCCACTAGGGACACGTGCAAAAGCGAACATGTCAGGGACATGGGGACAGATCCAGCTTCAGGACGGAGGTAGCCACTATAAAGGTTTATCAGGGCCCAGAGAAGGGTAACAGGGCAGTTCAGAGGGACAGCACTTGCCCAGCAGGCTAAGGCCCTGGGTTCCAGCCCCAGTACTAGAAAATAGATAAATAAAAGCCCACAGTCTGGACAGTGAGTCTCACACTGGCTAGCTCAGGACCTCAAAGCAGTAGTCATGACACACAGCCACCACTGTGGAGGCAAAGGAGACCCACAGCAGGCAGCATCAGGGGTGACCAGTCACGCTTCTGGACCAGAAGAACACACAGGGGCAGCTTCCTGAGGCCACTTGCTTTATCTGACAGGACCCAGGGCTGAGGGATGGTCCCGTCTACGCTGGACCTGAACCTGCAACCCCAGTGGTAGGGGTAGGGGCAGGGCCAGGGCCAGCCACGCCCATATCTCAACCTCGACCTCAACCCGGGCTCTGAGCTTCTCACCCCTGTCTGCCTGCTAGGGGCTGCTGTCACAGGGCCTATGGCTGCTGTCCGCCCCACTGGTCCAGGAGGCCGCGAATGTGCCTCCCAACCATGCACCTGAACATGAGCTCCTCCGACACCAGGTAGACAGCCTCTGGGGTCCCCGCGGAGGGCTGCTCATGATTCTGGGGGTCCCACCTGTGGAGGAAGTTCTGGCAAGCAGGAAAGGAAGTTAGTGGACACACCATGGGGAATCAACCTCGCCCCCCTCTCCAGCCCCAGGTCTCCACAGGGCCCAATACAGCTCCCTCCCTACAAGCAAGACAGGAGTCCTCCCCCATGCAAGGGACCCAGCAGCCAGGAAAGCAGCACCAAGCCCCAGGGCAGGGGGCTTCCCACCCACACTCAGCCAGCTCCTCCCCCACCAGGCACCCAGATGTCCTGGCCTGAGCCTCATGGAGGCCCCAGAAAGGCCTAGGAAGGGACTGCTGATACCTCCAGGAGCAGAGCCAGAAAGAGGTTGACCCAGATGACGGATGACACTAGCCACCACAGCACGAAGTAGACCTTGGACCACCTGTGGAAGACAGGGAGGCCCCCACACACTGAGCAGAGCGAGATCCTCCCTGACATACCAGCACCCCTCAGTGGGGAGGGCGCTCCTCAGACTGCTGGCAACTCCCTGGAGCCCAGTTACTGTCCCCATCCATGAGGTCGCAGCCAGGCTGCAAAGTGTTCAAGTGCAGGCAGTGGAGACAGAGCTGGATTCCAGCCAGGCCCTATACTGCAGCCAGTCTGAGCTCTCCAGTCTCCCGCCTCAGCCTCCCTAGAGCACCTGACCCTGCAGGATTCCCCAGAAGCTCCAGTCAGACCCTCTCACTCCTCCCACGCCAGTGGCCCCAGAGGTAAAGCCAGAGTCCTCGCCCTGGGTGCAGTGTGGGAACCAGTGGGGGCTGCCTGCCATGATGCCACCTGCCCTGCCGCCTGTCCCTGACAGGGACCTGTCCCCTACTCTGGCCAGACCTGGACATCGGGTGCTCCCAGCCAGCAGGCAGAGCCCCCATCTGCTCATGGAACCTCCGCTGTCGGGGAGAGGGTGACTCACGGGCCCACGTAGCGTGCATACGCGTCCAGGATCACCTGCCAGTTGTTCACCACCATCACGTTCCACAGAGTGACCAGGGCAGCCTGTGGGGGGAGCACACAGAGGGTCCGGCCGGGTCCAAGAGACAGCGGGGAGTGGGAGAAGGTCCGGGGACAAACCCAGGCCTCACCGCAAAGTCATCGAAGTTGTTGGCCCAGTACTCCAGCTGCTCGAAGCTCCCACAGGATACAGAGCCATTGGCAGGGGCCAGGCTGGGGGACACAGCACCGCTGGGTCAGTGTCAGGGCCCAGGATCTGTATAGCCGGGGAAGCAGCACCTAGCACTGCCCCAGCCCTGGGCCCCTGGGGACCTCTCTATGGCCCTGGGGTTAAGGGGACAGAAAAGTCCACCAATTCAGCAGCGATGGTGAGGCTCCTGGGGCGCCAGGCTCTGATGCTGCTCTGTACCCCCACCCTCCAACTTCCATAGCCTGGACCCCAACGCTGCGGTGGGGGGGCAGGGCGGGGCTCCTAGGAGAGGCCCAGGGGCATAGCTGAGGGTACCCCTCTTCTGAGCAGCTCAGTCCCACCCAGGACCCCCTGAAACTTCCTTTGGCACTGAGACCCCACCCCACCTGCTGTTTCCGAAAGGAGCCACGATGGTACCTCGGAACAGGCTGATCCCGACGATGGCAAACACGTAGTACACCACCTATGGGGTGGCCAGGCCGTCAGCACGGCTGCAGCCCAGGGCCCGACCACTGCTGCCCCACCACACCTGGGCTACAGACGCCTTTGGGGCCTAGGCAGCTGTGACCTCAAAGCTCTTTGAAGAACAGGCTGCTACTCCCAGGTTCCCCTGGTCATAGGCTCCCCCTCCTGCCCAGGTGCAGCCCACAGGGGACAGTGGGTATAGGGGAAGGGTCAGGCACAATGTGGCTTTCAATCATCAAATGTGACCAAGTCCCTCAGATCCTCTAAGGAAGAAGCATACACTAAGTCCCCTCCCTGGGCTCTAAAGGAGGTAAGGTTCTCCGGGACCCAGCACCCAGAGGTCAGGAGAACCCCAGCATGGAACAGGATGGGACAGCTGCAGCTGCCTGGGGGCCTCTCTGGAAGGAGGGGACAGCCTGGCTTCTTGCTCCCAGGGCCTCCGAGCCTTGCCTGCTGCTCTCCGTCACCCCCAGGGACCCCACCCCCGTGGTGAGCCAGCTTGTGTGGCCTGCCTTGGAGCACTGGAGCCCACCCCCAGGGTCCCCTAACAGCAACATCCCAGGACTTACCACCAGGATCCCACCGAAGGCCCGCAAGTTCTGGATCAGGCCCAGGATGGTACTGACCACCATGGCCATGGGCTGCAGGCAGGAAAAAGCCCAACCTCACTCATCCTGCCCTACTGGGGACACCAGAGCCACTGCCCTGACTACAACTGAGAAGGCACGAAGGACGGGCAAGTATGCACCACGCCTGGGCACACACACCCCACATCCTCCCATCCACATCCTCACCCCAACGCCACACACCTCCACTCCCACACTCCCCACGTCCACCCAGTGCTGCGGGTGGAGCCCAGGGCCTCGGATGCCCCTCTGCCCACCCACCCGCCGAGGCTGGGTGAGCCCCTACAGTCTCGGAGAGCTGGCCAGGACCCTGTCCCCACGGGCCACTTTCCCCACACACTCAGACCCCAAGAAAGGCCTCCAGCCTCCCCATTCACCCACTCAGTGCTGCAAGCAACAAGGCAAACCCTGGCAGGTGAGGCAAGTGTGTACACATCTACAGGAACCTACATGGTGCATACGTCATCTGCATGTGTGGCTGTGTGCGTGCATGTGATCACGGCTGCTGACGGTGTGTGGGTATCTGGCCATTTACATGAGCAATCGCGAGTTTGCAATTGCATATATACGTGTGCCCTTTGGTTGTATGTGACTATGTGCAAAGATGTGTGCAAAGGCTCAGGAGCCCTGGCCTCCTTCACATGGGCAGTACCACTGGGCCAAGGGGACCACGGTGGTAGAGAGGAGCGCTTGAAAGGACCTGGGCCTTCAGAAACGGCCCCCATGTCCTCGGGTTTTGTTTCCCAAGTTGTTTAGAAACATGGACACAATCGGGGGCTGGGCCTGGACACACCGCCCCGCTTGCCTCCTCTGCCCTCCCCGCCCTGTGCACACTGCCCCTGGTGGGTACTGGGGAAACTGAGCCTCAGAGACACTGTCAATGAGCCCTCATCCAGGGGCCTGAGAATGAGCAACTGGCTGGCCACACCCTACCCTCGCAGGACCTACCCTCCAGCAGCACCAATGCCCTCCTGGGGCGGCCAAGGGACTGCCCCTACCATCCCAGTTGGTCTCCTCACCCAGACACGGGGTTGGGCTCACCTCCTAAACACCCACCTAGCACTCAGGGATGGGAGGCTGAGAGACCCAAGGTGACAGGGACAGTCCTGAGTTCCTCCCCCGCTGCCCAGCTCACCCGCCCAGAGCACAGTGCAGGGCAGGGCGGCCCAGACGCCCACGCACCTTCATGTTGGGTATGATGCGCAGGAAGCGGAAGACAATGAGCATGTTCACCAGTCGCGTCATGTCCCACAGAGACAGCAGCCCCAGTGTCTCTGGCTTCCTGCAAGGGACCAGTGGGTGGGGAGAGGCCCAGAGGTCAGCAGACGTGTGGTTGAGACACAGAGGGAAAACGGTGCCACAGGAGCTCAGTCCACTGCTACACTAGGCAGGTCACACTGACCACCCCAGGATGCCCAGATCACTGCCCTATGTCTCAGCATGGTCTCATGGGAGTGCAGGGCCAGAGGACCCCCATTTCTCAAAGGAGGCTGCATAAATCCCAGATGCAAAGTTGGGGTCCCAGCACATGCAGGTCCCCAAACCCACGTTCCTTCAGGGTACCAGGTGAGGGAGCCCATTGGCATGGGGAGGGCACCTGGGGAAAGAGGGAGGGGCCACTGCCACCACCACTGTTGCTAGCCCTGTGGACCTCAGCGCTGCAGAGCCAGGAGTGGCCTGGGCTCTCACACCACCCTCCACCAGGCAGGACTTGTTGAAGTTCAGCCACCACCCAGGGTGCCCTGGGACAGCCCGAGACTGCCAGAGGCCCCCTGGAGGATTTGGGGATGCTGCTGTGTGGCTCCTGGCTTCCTGTCACATACCAGTGTGGATGTGGGAATCCGTACACAGCCAGAGTAGAGATCTCCAAAACCTTCGATGGCAAAAGAAAAGCAGGCATCGTACAGCAACACTAACTCAGGGAGCTTCCGGGCACATGCCAGAGCTCACTTCTGACAGTCTCCCCAGAGGGGCTTTTGGGGAAAAGAAACCAGAGCCCACTGTCTGAGCCCGTGACCTCAGCTCCCACGTTGGAACTGCCATGAACTGAAGGTCACCCCGGCCTCTGAGTCAGGACTCAGAGAAGCTGCTCGGTGAGAGGCCCTCAGCTCAAAAGGGCTGCCTGGCTCTAAGGGTTCAGATGAGGTAAATGTCACACGCTGCGTATGTCCCCTCACTCTCAGAACTTAGGGAGAAGGGTGCCTGAGACCCCCACTCTCCTTCCACCCCCACCGAGAGCACGTGGAACCAGTGGCTGAGCCTCCCTGACCACCCTCAGGGTGCAAGCAGCAGCCAACTGCACAGGACACAGCAAGCCCCCGGCCCTGGACACTAAGCTGGGCGGGAGCAGAGTCAGCCCTGTCCCGGAGGCAGGCGGCCCAGGGCCGGGGTCCTTGGGTCTCAGGGATGCAGAGGGAGCCCGGGCGAGGTCAGCTCCTCCCACTTTACCAGCAAGATGGAGGTGAGCAGGCCATCACACACGTTGCTGGGGTAGGACAGGTAGCCCCTCGGGCCCAAAGCGAAGACCTTGAGCAGCAGCTCCAGCACGTAGTACAGGATAAAGATGCAGTCCAGGATCTGGGGAAGGAGGGGCATCATGGAGCCACGCCGGGCAACTCATCCCCGCTCCTCCCTGCTCTGAGCCGCTCCTCCCAGAGGGGCCCCCACTGTGCTCAGCACATCCCCCATCTTTGGTGTCCACCACAGTCTAACTGGCTTTTTGGTGAGGTGTGATCAAAAATATAGTGAACACTGCTGCAACGTGCTTTCTGCTAGAAAGGTGGGCTCCAAAAGCCACGCCAGCGTCCTCATTTACCTTCCTCACCAGATCTGACACCACGCAACGTCCAGCTCTTCCCACAGCCCAAAAGACCACAAAAGGTAAATGCCTTGAATTGATTTAGGATGTGGCAGCAGCCAGACAGCACAACTAAAGACACTTGTGAAAGAAGACTCCCAGAACTGCTTCGGAAAGTGGCCAGGGTGATGGGAGAGCGTTTAAAGAGAGAGGGAGACAAGCGCCTGCCTGGCAAGCTCAAGCTCGAGAGTTTGATCCCCGGTACCAAAAAATAAAATAAAATTAAATTAAATTATATTAAATTTTAAAAAATAACGAATAAAGTGAGGGGGAGTATCTTGAACAGGAGTCATGGCAAGGTGTCTTGCTGTAATAAATGTTTATATTCAAATGTTCACCAAATTTTTTAGTCACATCTCTTCATACAACGTATCATTTTTAAATGTGACAGATCAAAATGTTTCTTAAGTAAGAAAAATCTCATGCTTTTGGTCAACTTAATATCTTTCAACATGTAATTTAGCAGACTTTAAAAGACACTCTTTGTCAGAGCACTGGCAGAAAATACCATGGGGGTGGTGCTGTGGTATAGCTTAATATCCATGCAGAAAAACTGTGAATTCCTAAGGTATTTGACCAGATCTTTCCATACGAGATAAGAAATTCAGAATTTCTTTTTTAAAGGCTGGGAAACAACCAAGAAGACAAAGCTCGCATCCTGGAGCCAGAAAGCCAGAAAGACCCTGAGGTCATAGCTGCTGCCCCCTCAGGCCTCTCCACTGCCACCCAGTAGGCCAGGGCCTGTGCCCACCGCTGACCCCACCAGCCTGTCCCCACCCACTGAGCCAGGCTGCTCCCTGAGGGAGGACAGCCACCCTCCATACCTCCCCCCACCGTGATTCTGGAACTCACCCCCAGGACAAAGTCATCACGGTTCCTGGGCAGCACATCAGCGTCCAGCACCAGGAACACCTGTAAGGCCACACAGAGGGCGGCTCACTGAGCCAGCAGAGCACAGCACAGAGCCACACAGCAAGGTCGCACTAGTTACTGTCACTAGGCCGGGTATCAGGAGGATGGGATTGGAAGGACAGGCCTCCCGTGTCTACTCGGGGCAAGGCTGCACTCACGCAAATGGACACAAGGTTGCTCAGGGCGATGCCGTTCCCCAGGTAGTCAAAGTAGCGGTGGCTGAAGAGGAACTGGGCGGTCTGGAGAAACGGAGACTGGTACTGGGGCCTCGGCGGGTGCTGGAAAGAACCCACTTGCTCAGAATCGTATCAGCTGGCGGCTCTGCCCTTATTCTGGGATTCAACATTCTCCTATCTCAGTACCCATCCAAGCCTCCAGCCTAAGGAAGTACTCCTGAATGCAGAAATAGTTTCACAAACAAGTGGTTTGTCACAGTGGTCTTCACAACCTGAGGAGCAGCAGTAATGCCTAAGGAAATATCCACTGGTTCCGTAAGTACAGCAGGTATACACATGTGCTGTGTCTGCCACCCTGAATGATGCCGTACTAGAGTATGCCAGGCTGGCACGCGACAACTAGGGAAACGCAGCATGGACACGCCAGCTGGCACCTTGAATAGGCTGGTATGGAAAGGAGGAACACGGACTGGCAGGAGTGGGACCCACAGGACATATGTGACTTCACCCCTCTGCCCTGTCCCTGTTCAGGACCCCCTGCATCCTCCCAAGGCTGACTGGCTGGAAGGTTTCTCTGCTGCCACCATGCTGCATGGGACACCTGAGCTGCTTGCAGCACCCCACCTACCCAGGAACCCACCCAGGAAAATGTGGGCAGCTGGGAGCTCTGAAGGGGACTGAGCTAGGGACTGCTGTCACTGTTGCAGAGTCACTGCTGAAGGACCCCCCACAGAGGGCCACACAGAAGAAAAGAGCTTGTCACAGAGATGGAGACACTGGAGATGGAGATGCCAGGTCCCAGGGTGGGTGAACTTCTCCAGGTCAGCAAAGCCTCCCCAGTCACCAGGAGCCAAGCAGAGCTCCACCTACAATGCACTGCGGTGCCCGGGACGGGTGATGAGTGACAGGGACTGCGCAGAGTTGCTGCGAGCCCTGGTGGCCCTGGGTTGGGCAGGCGGCACATGCCCACTCCCTTACCTCTTTAATCACACTTTTGTCAAGTTCATCGAAGAGTTTCTGGAATTCGTCAGCTGACAGCAGGACATCATTGTAGGATCGCACTTTCTGGGGAGAGAAGCCCGGGTCAGCAGACGTTGGGCAGCCAACGGGGGCCGCTGACCTCACCAGCTGTGAGTGCTGGGCTCACCGACCCCACCTGTCCTCACTCCCAGGGGCCCGGAGGCCGGGCAGACACGGGAAAGCAGCTACCTCCATGATGGCCTGTTTGTGAGAACCGCTCATCTGCACTTTCTGGAGCACCTGCAGTAAGGTGTGAGGCCGCACTCCAGCTCTGGGAAGGAAACCGCTTGTCAGAGAACACAGCCAGCCAGGCCACCTGGTGTCCCACCAGGCAACACAGCCCGGCCCCCAGCCTGCGCTTGGCTCAAATCCACCCTGCTGCCTGGCAAGGACCTCCATCAGCAAGCATCTACTGTAGCAGGAACTGCAGGTGTCCTATGGTCACCAACTAAAGTCCCCAAAAAGTCACTCTGTCCCACTTTGAGGAGGAACAGGCAGACTCCACCATCACCCAGCAGTTGAGATCAGAACCTGCCAAGGACACAGCACTGAGTTCTGTCACCACCTATACTTGGCATGGTACACCTGACCCAAGGGGAACAGACTCAGCAAGAGTGACAGGTGCCAGGGCACTGAGACAGGGTGGGCTTCAGGATTCATGAGGAGCAAGAGGTCTGGCAGCAGCCAGCAGGAGCCCGGGAATCTGTCCCTGAGAAGAGGGCCCCAGCCAGCACTCACGTCTCAGGAGCGGCTCCCGCCTGCATGGAGGAGAGGACCTCATAGGCAGCACGGGTGCCCAGGCGCCGCCGGAACAGCGAGGTCTGCAGAGATTTCTGCAAGGAAGGTGCCCTGAGTGCAGGCTGCCACACATTCAACCCGACCCGCCCTCTCAGGAGAGGAGAGGGTAAAATGGGATGGGAGCCGCCTCCAAGGGCACTCAGCCCACCCTCACCACCCGGCACAGAGGACAGCTGCACAAGCCCCTCGGGGGGTCTTCAAAGGGCAGGAGGCCCACAGAAGCTCAGTCCGACCAAGCAGACAGCAGCTCCTGTGCAATCCACAAAGGCCTGCATGTGTGGGGTCCTTACTTCCCACAAGAGGGTTCGGGTCAGTGCCCACCAAAGAACTGCAATTACAGGCGGCTTCCCTCCAAAGGTGTGCAGGAAGGAAAAGGGACCCTGAGTGGCAGGGCACTGGCACCATCCTCCCCAAAATGAGACGGTGTATCTTGAGAGGCAGAGGGCCCCCTTACCACCCTTCAGCAAGGGCCTCTCCCTGTCACTCAGGCCACACCCAGGCACAGCGGGGCAGGTGGCTCACCATCAGGTAGCCTCGGAACTGGTTGTAGATGATGGCGGTGAGCAGGTTCATGAGGAACAGGCTTCCTGCAGGAGGAGAGGAGGCGATCAGAGGCAGTGGGGCAGAGGGGAAGCACAGCCTCCACTGCTGTCCTGGAGCATCGAGGCAGCGCAGACCCAGAGGAGAGGCCACCGGCCTGGATGGTCAGCCGTGGTCACAGAGTGCCCATCATTCCCTCCACCCAGCCAGGGACCCATCACCACCCCCCGGCCTCCACATCCTCACTACTCAGTGGGCCACCACGGAGCCTCCCAGGCATGGGAGGACAGATTGGGTCACTGGCAGTCACAGACTACGGATCACCAGCCACAGGGTTGGGGGCATGCCAAAAGAAGTTACAGGCTGGGAGCACTGGACCCTGTCACACCAGGATGACCCCTGGCCTGGCGGTCCACACAGACCCGGCTGCACTCACCTATCAGGGTGAAGACTATGAAGAAGATGGCGTAGGCCCGGTTCTTGGAATACGCAGGAATCATCACTGAGGCAAAGAAGAAACCCCTGAAACCGCGACGCCAGCCTCAGTGCCTTCCTGCAGGACTTCTAACACCTGCTTCCTCACCTCAGGAGGGCCCTGGGCTGGGAGAGCCGAGGACTTCCTGTCCAGAAGGTAACCTCACACCTGCTGGCTCTCCTAGGGATGGGGAGCTCACTGCCCACTGAGGACACTCGCAGGCTGCACCCACAGAAGGTCGTTCTGGTCGTGAGCATCCCTGAGCCCAGAATGAGAGGTACCAGCCATGGTGACCAGGTCATGGTCAAGCCCAGAAGGACTGCAGCCTCCCCGACTGGCCGCCCCTGGCCAGCCCACATGGGAGCAGCTGGAGGACCGGTCAGCGGCCCCTGCAGTCAGCCGAGCCCCGGGGTCTCTCACACTTGACGCTCCGGAGCAGCACGCACCTCCGGCTTGGCCTGGGTGGCAACGAGGAAAGTGGCTGAGCCCCAGAGGCCACTAGAAGGGCCACTGATCTCCATCACTTGTCACCACATAAAGGACACTGCTCACTTTCGGCTTCTCCGAGGAGTAAGAAGAGGCAAGGAACCAAGAGAAAAACGAGTGCCAAGGCAAAGGAGAAAGAAAGAAAAAGGACAAGAAAAGAAAAAAAGGGGGAAAAAGAAAATGAAAAACAAGGGAAAAGAGAGAAGGCAAAGGAAGAAGGGAAGGAAATGTCACCCTCGCCGTGATAAAAAGGAAAGACCTTAACTCCCGCCCGACTGCAAAGCCCAGCGGCCCCAGCGGACCCCCTCAGGGCAGTTCGCTGCCCCCAGGTCCTGCCCTCACGCACCGTCAGGGTTGTTGGCAGTGGTCAGCAGCACCAGGAGGGAGGTCAGAGCCTCCGGCAGGCTCCGGAAGTAGGTCAGTCTCTCCCTGTTCAGTTCTGCATCCTGCTGAGAAGAGGTGAGGCTCCAGGAGCCATCAGACCTCACAGCCTTTAGGAAGGCGACACTCCAGGCTATGGGGACCAGTCACTGCAGCCTGCATCTCCCTGTCATTTCCCAGAAGGCTCTGAATTCATGGCCAGACAGGACAGTACTCAGGGCCCCAGGCCCATGAGCAGGCACCCAGGAGATGGAACATCCCTATAGCTACCAACCATGGCGACAGGCCTGCCCACCCACACAGGGCCCAGCCAGTCTGCGGCTGCCTGCCTCGGCCATGTTGTATGCACAGCAAGGCCAGGAGCAAGGAGCAAGAGGGGCACAGGAGCCCAGGCTGGAGTGTGTGGCCTCAAGCAGGCCAGATGTAAAGGGACTGGGGATGTGAACCCCGAGAGGTCCCACTGCTCCCAGGCTGAGCATCGGCACCCAGCACCCCCTGAGAGGTCCCAAAAGGCCTGTGGCTCATCACAGCAGCCAGCAGAGGGCATACACATCCTGAGCTGTCCACCCTCCATCCTTCTGGGGGTCCCAGCCTCATGCAGCCCGGAGGATTTGTCCCCCAGGGACAGCTTGGCCAAAGGGCCTGGAGGTTACTCCAGGGACGCATCCAGGGATGGCAGGATCAGGGGTGACACCCAGTCCTCCTAGGGCTGAAACAACCCACTGCCTGCTGAGTGGAGCCCCGGCGTCCTACTGTCTGAAGGATACTCTAGCATCTGCGCCAGTTTACAGACAAGGACTGAGGTCTGGGGATGAGCTGAGCCTCTGCAAATCAGCTTCTGAGCAACTGGCAAGGGGCTTGAAGGCTGAGCAAAGGACCTTGGGACAGGTCAGCCACCATCAGGCCTCCTCCCACTGCAACCAAAGGCTGGGGGCCATTCTTGCTGAGACCACAGCAAATAAAACTTCCCACACAGTTACACAACACTCACTAACTCAACCTAGTTCCTCTTTGTGGGGTAAACACCCAGCCCGGAGGAGGTGCCAACCTACTGGAACCCAGGGACTCTCAGTACTCGGGGCGGCTGGGGATTTAGCCCAGCGGCATAAGTGCCTGCCTTGCAAGCAGGCAGTCGTGAGTTCGAACCCTGGTACCGATAAAAACGAAAAAGACAAAAAAAAAAAAGACTCAGTACTCGGGGGTTGGAACCCACCACCCCCATCCTAATGCTGGGGCCACCTCCAGTCCCCCATGCTGACCGTCAGCCTGAGCTGGCCCTGGGAAAAAGTGGACTTCAGCCATCACAGGACAGTCACAGGAGGCCCTGTCACCAGGGTCAGCAGCCTGGCAACTGCCAGACACACACACACACACGGAAACACCCACAGACACACTCACCAACACATCAAGCTACCTACGTAGACACACACGGGCAGACAGACAGAGGAACAGAGAGGGCACTGGGCTCTTCCTCCTGGGTCAGAAGGCTCAGGCCTGCCTTCCCCTCCTGAGAGCCACAGCCTGATCCGAAATTGCCCCAAACATGAAAACCAGCCCTGGCCAAGGCGACATCCCAGAACAAGGCAGTAGACAAGCAGATGGCCCAGCCAGACAGTGACCTGGCTAGGATGTAGGACCAACAAAAAGGAGCAAAGGCCAGGGTCAGTCCAGGCAGGGGGCACTTCCACACAGCAACAAGTCACTGGGGGCCAAAGCCTTGGATGGGCAGGAGACCTCGAGTCAGGGCCGGAGATGAGGATGTTGGAGGCACCCCCACAAGGTAGTGCAGGTCTGAGGGGCCCATGTGAGGAAAGGTATAGAGAAACAAGATGTGGATGCCATGGCAGGCATCACCATGGCACAGCATGAATGGGCTGGGGGTGATCCTGCAGAGTTCCCCATTCCTGGCCCAGGAGGGAAGGAAGCAGCCAGGGAGGAGGGCAGTGGCCCCAGGGCCAGAAAATGGAGCAGACAATGCCAGAGGGGGTAGTGGGGCTGCTGTGGCCATGCGGGTACCCCCTGGCCTCCAGGGGCACCAATGACTTCCTGGTTACATGTCTAGGGCAGGTGGCCTAGCCTGGCCCTTGCCCTCTGCCAATCTAGTGACATCCTGCCCAGGGGCAGGGCGACTGCCTGGGCCACGGCCTCACCTCACCTTCTCGCCGACGGTGAAGAGCAGCATCCCGAGCATGGTGAAGAGGCACAGGTGAATGGCCAGCAGCAGCCCGACACTGGGGAGGGACAGGGACAGGTACAGTGTGGGCCCCACACCCAGGAAGGGTGAGTCGGGGACCCCAGACGTGCCCAGGGGCCATGTAGGCACCAGGGCCCTGCAGGTCAGGCCCGCATCCACCTGTGGAGCCCGCTTTCTGGCTGAGACAAAGACAGGCAACCTCAGGAGGGACTGAACCCAGGACCCTGGAAGGGAAAGGCCACTTCCATCCTTCTGGGCTGAAGGGGAGACAGCCAGGTGGGCCACCAGGGCAGGGACACAAGACACAGGTGCCATTTCCAATGGTGGGACACCATTTCCAGTGGTGTGGGCTGAGAATGGGCCCAAGACCCCACATTTCTGAGAGTGAAGGAACTTTGCAGGCTTCCAGCAAGGGTGATGTCCACAGTAGCTTAGCTCTATAAGGTCTCAGAGGCAGTGGGCCACCAGGACACAACAAACCAGGCAAGAACCCGGCCATGGGGCAACACAGGGACAGGCAAGAACCCATGAGCCGGGGACCCTTTGGACTCAGCAATGGAGGACAGGCGGGTCTGCAGCGGGGCCTCTTAAGGGGCCCCAAGACTCCTGCACGCTGACCTCTCCAGGGTACCGGGCTAGGAGCGTTCATGGGCCTCACGGGTTGTATTGAGCCCCTTGGGCTGAGCACTAGCTGAGAGTCCCACTGGGTCTGAGACCTACCTGGCCATGTCCGGCAGTGACCACCGGATGCACTTCAAGGTCTTCTTCATCATGGAGGAGTTCTGCAGCAGGAAGAAGGGGCGCAGGAGGCGGCGCATGCGCAGCGGCTACAACAGACGCAGAGCGGACAGGCTGGAAACTGTGCCTGCACACAGCACTACCCCGCGCCTGCCACTATGGGGCGCAAATGAGCTTGGGTCCTAGGGATGGAAGCAGGCCCTGCTGGCCACAGGCTGGGCTGGCAATTTTAGCCAAAAGGTCACCCATGGCCTTTCCTGCCCTCTCATGCCACCCTGGCTCCTCTCCATCCTACCACGCGTGGCATTATATCTGAGACTGGCACTCCTGGTGTGTCAGGCCATTCCTTCACTCCAGAACATGAGTGCCGGAGACAGAGGTTCTACCTGTCTTGTTCCTGCCAACAGCTCACACAGCAAGCCCTCAGGGTGACCCTCGGGACGTCATATGGCGCTGCCCTGGGCTGTGCTCGCCATCCTCACAAAAGCCCAACGATGACCAGACCACTAACTGCTCAGGACTCTGGCCCCATTAGAGGAAGCAGCACCCAAACTATCCTAGAGTCCTCACGCGCTGGCCTCTGCTCCCAGCACTCAGGAGACTGAGAGCCAGGCAGCCTCCCTACCCACTCTGTGATCAGACCATCAGCATCACATGCACACAGGACCAAGAGAACACGATGGCACACCTAGGTGATCCTCCCCTGAGAACTGGCCGCTGAGTCAGGTAAGCGTTGGCAAGGCCCAGACTCCCGGTGCTTGGAGAAACACCACACTCAAACAGCTACGCTGAGACGAAGCAAGTGGCTGAGGCCCAGGCCCTGAGGCAGTGGTGCTGGACCAGGCAGAACCCAGCACAAGAGCGGCAGGTACAAGCAGGTAGGAGTGCCTGGTCCTCGTGAGCCACCTGATGTCAGTGGGAGCTTTGCAACTGAGCAGCTCACCACAGAGGAACAGCTGGTGTGGTTGCAGATGTGCTGAGGATGGCCAGCCCAGGCAGAAAAGGACCTAGTGTGTCAGAGCCTTACTCCAGATTCTCCAGAGACAGGGCCAAGGGAGAGCTCTGTGCAGGCAGGGTCAGCGGCCCCTCTAGACGAAAAAGAAAACAACTCCCCTGGGGCGGACTGGGACATGGCAAGGGCAGGACTGCAAGACTGGGGGCAGGATAACCAGAGCTCCTGTCCCTTAGAATGCGCAGCAGGGGTATCACTCAGCAAGACAGCATGTTCTATGGGCTCCAAGCCTCCTTCCTCAGCTACACCACCAGTACAGAACAGAGCCTCTGCCTGAAGCCAGCAACACATCCATCCTGCTTGAAGCAGAGCCCAGCACCAGACTTCACATGGCTCCCTGCTAACAATCCTGGACACCAACTCCACGTCCGAGGACCTCAGGAGCGACTCAGTGGAGGGCACCCACGACCTACTGCAGCACTCACTGCTGAGGTCAAGGTCATCCAGGATATTCTGCATGATGTTCACATGTCTCCCCAAAGCCTCGTGTAGCCACAGGTGGGACTTTTTCAGAGGTGGCTGAATCCACATCATGTGACTGACACTAGGATTGATTCATGGTGCAATGCTAGGTTCAAGGGCACTAGGATTAAGGGTGTGAGCACTACCCAATCTAAGTAGTCTAGATAAAATAAAAGGTGTAGAAAGACACCATTAAAGTCCCTTGTTGCTTTGCTACCTCCTGTCTGCCATGAACTGGTCCTCCTCACGAATGCTCCTCTGCCACCCTGGCTTGGAGCCAGCCGATTACGGAATGAAACCTCTACAAACTGTGAGCTAAATAAACCTTTCTCCCTTTAACTTTGGGTGTTGGAGATTTTATCTCAGCAACAAGAAAACTATAACATAGGAGACCCAGCCTGCCAGAGAGGTCCGGAGCCTCAGAAGATGCAGGACACCAGGCTGGGGCTTCTAGGGCAAAGCACAGGCTTCAAGGGACCAGTTCCACCATAGTGGGATTCAGGGGACTGAGGTATTAAGCGTGACCACACTTCTACTTCTCATCCCCATTCCTGGCACTGCTGTTCTGGAAGTATCCATACCCAAGGGAGAAGGGTCCACCTGGGACACACACTTGCCCCACTTGTCCAAGGGACAGATGTGCCTGCAGGGTGGATGATCCCATGAGTGAGGATAGGCCAGGGCACTGTTACTCAGGCTAGACTGGGGTCCTGTGGGGCACCTAGAAGTATCCCAGGGTTCAACAGGAAAAATCATCAGAAAACCTCCAACCATCAAAAAATAAATAAATAAATAAAAATTCAAAAACCCAAGACCATCAAAGACTTGGTCCTTGGGAAGGAAGGGCAGCACTTAGACAGTGAAAATCAAGGCCTCTTCTATAGCTGCACAAGGGTCCCTGCCGGCCTGTGAGGCGGACATGTGTCTACGTGTCGGTGTGTCCATGTGTATGAATGAACCTCTGTTCCTCCTCTCACATATGCATCCTGGTGGAGGTTAGTGATGCAAGTTAACCTGTGAGTTATGGGATACTTGCTGGCCAATGTGACAGATCTGTGACTGTCACCAGGAAATGGTGGCTGTTGGTCCACTACCCTTCCATGTTCTGAGGACCTGGGGACCTCTTCCTTAGTAGGAAGGAGGGTTGCACTTTAGCAGGGAGAGCAGGATGCAAGGGTAGGGGCCCACCACTCACATCTGTCCCTCAGCAGCTGCTCCCAGGATTCCTGCTGGTGGGGCCCCACTCCATCTGCACCGCCAGGCAGCACCCTACCAGAGGTCAAGGGCAGGGCCCCCGCTCTGCAGGCCTCCCCTGTGCTTCTGGATGCCCATAACCCTACTTCTTCTGTTTCTTCTCTCTGGGTTGCACTGGCTCCCCTTTGGGGTTCTGGGTTCCCCAGAAGCTGTGTGAGTCTCTCAATTCAAGTCTACCAACTCACAGATGGGCTTCTGTCTCCCCAACAGATCCTGACAGATACTGCTGACCCTGTCCCTGCTCTGTCCTTCCAGACCATGGGAGGTCAGAAAGTGGATAGGAAGGGGTCTTCTCACTGCCAGGCCTCAATGCTGCAGGCATGCAATGTGTGCCTGGTAAGATCCTGGATGGCACTGCCATGGGGGACTCAGCCTGGTGGAGTTCAGATGCCAAGTGCACTGAGGCCAGGAGCTTGAGCAGCCCCAGGACCTGCTGCCCACTCCTCCTCTCGACTACAAGACACCCCAGGGAAACCTCGTGCCTTCTCTAGGCCTATGTGCATCATCTGTGAGATGGGACCAGGGCTCTTGGACAAGAGGAGCCCAAAGTGCTATGGGGCTACAGGGCTCAGGACCCCTGCCACCTACTGTCCTTGGTAGCTGCTCCTGCACCCCACATCCCACAGAATCACCTCACCACCTACCTCCTGGCAAAGGAGACTCAGGGACACAGTCCAGTCCACCAGGGACACAGCCAGCACCGTGAGGTAGGCCAGCAACCACAGGTTCTTCTGGAACTGGGACCACCCGACCAGATAGCCCTGCAAGACATGGGGACAGGGTGAACAACGCACTCACAGAGACAGGCCTGAGCCAGGGAGAGAGCCTCAGTGTACACAGGAAGACCTCTGCCCAACAGTGGGGTCTCCATGTGACACTCAGGGGACAGGACGCTGAGCAGCTGTCAGAAGGCCAGCTGAAACCTCAGGCAGGCGCTTAGCACCTCTGGCCTTCGCCTCAGCATCAGGGCTTCCAACACCTGCTCAGCCTATGCAGCATCAGAGGGAGGCACAAGATGTACCAGAATGGATGAGAATGGGAGGGGTGAAGGGGAATGTGCCCAGCCGATCCTGAAGGCAGAGAGGAGGCAGGTTCTGTCCGTTCCTCCTCCTCCTAACCACTTCCTACCAGGACAGTCTCCAGGGGCCACGGCCTGCACACGCTCTCCCACAACACGATCACCACACACACTAATCATTCCGCAAACACTCATGACAACTTCGCACCAGTTTCGGTTCCAGTTTCAACCACAGAGCTGCTAGAGATCACAGCCTACACCTAAAGGCATGTGCTCTCCCACAACACAATCCCCACACACAGTGATCATTCCACAAACACTAGTGATAATTTCTCACCAGTTTTGGTCCAGCTTTAAAACCCACTGACCTGCTAGTCCAGTAGGAGCTAAAACACGAAGAACTGAGAAACTACATGGCCGCACCTAGCCACGCCCCTCCAGGAGCACACAAGCACCCTGCCCGAGCTACAGACTGCGGGGATCCAGAAGCCACATGAGCTCACAGCCCAGGTGGAAGAGTGCTGGGCTGCCACTGCAGGTGCCACCTAACACTGTGGACATGGATGCCCCTGGAGGCTATGGTGTTAGAATCACTAACAAAAATAGGATGTGCAGCCCCAGTGGGACCCAGCCTCTCCGCACTCCACAGTAAAGTCACCAAGGCTCCATGCTAATGTGGGCCCCAAGCTTCTATGAGCTGAAAAGTCCCATACTCACCTCCTGACAGGATTCGGTCTCAGACAGAAGCCAGGATCAGATGCCCCCTAGCTGCTGTCTGTCTTTCTACCTCACACCGTCTCCTCTTTAGGGATGGCAGGGTGGACTGTGAGAAGAGCCCATGGGTCCTCTTGTGTAGTTGGGGGTCTCCCCTCCCAAAAGCCAGTCCCTCGCCAGCTCCCAGAGCCCTCTGGGCCGCCCAACCCCAGCAGCACAGCCAGCCCGAGCCTCCACCCTGGGGAGGAAGAAGAGTGGACATTCTTGTACCACCCACTGCCTGCCTCACCTTCACAGAGACGTCAGCTGCAAAGACCAGCAGGCAGAGCAGCTCCACAGCCTCCGTGAGGCCGCAGGGTGGCTCCCATGGCAGGGAGCGATAGCGCACGTCTGCAGTCCTCGTGAGTGAGGACGGGGTCTCGAAAAAAGCCAAAAACAGGATCAAGAAGATAGTAAAGCTCAGAGTCCTGGAAAGAAAACAAAGCTGGTCAAAGGGCAAGAAGCAGCTGCCCTCCAGGCCAGGACACTGACGGTCAGGTGAATACCTACACGCACAGGAGGACCCTTCCTGGGACACGGCCACTGCAGCCTGCCCAGGTAACACTGATCCACCCAGACTCACTGGTGAGGAGCCCACCTGGACAGGGGCAGTCCTTGCAGGCCAGCCTCCCCCCACCAATCAGGCCAGCGGCAAGCCCAAGTTCCACAAGGCGCATTCTCACCGTTGGCACAGGTTTGAGTAATACCATCGGTAGAGCCACATCGAGCGGGCATCCATTCGGTGGTAGATGGAGCGGTACTAGAAGCAAAGGGTCACATGGAGGGGCGTGAACAGCGTCTCCCTGGTGCTGCACATATCTACACACAGACCTGTCCCCATGCCGGGCACATCTCCCATGGAGACTGGCCCCACTGGGTAGACGGACTATAGACAGCAGGGTCAGCACTGGCATGTGGACAACACCCCACCCCCACCCCACAACCCTGCAGGCTCAGCCAGTCACACAGAGTAAGGCTTATCCAGCAGACCAAGCGCTCTCCAAAGGCCAGACATAGGGCCCAGCAGGGGCACCAGGGGACGCTTGGCAGTGTTTGTAGCAGACACAGCTGTGCATCTGTGAGGCTCTCTCTTCTCCATGCAAGGGCGGTCCCCTGCCCCCAGCATAACTGTGTCATTCCCAGGACGTAGGGTAGAGTGACCCAGCACATATGGGCTAAATGAACAATGCAGTGATTCTAGTACTCAGAAGTCTGCCTCCCTCCGCAGAGTCTGCACCTGGTCTCGGTTAACATAACCCACAGGCCAGCAGCTAGGCCCTCAGCCCAGGACAGTTAAGGGATGACGGCAGGGAGACACTTAGCCAGCAGAGCAGCCACCACGTAATCCTACCCACCTGAACAGCATCTTCAATGAAGACCACAGCTTGGTTGATGCAGAGATCCTGCAAGGCCACAGCACCTGCAGGCAGAGAAAATAGGTCAGAAGAAGAAGAGAAGCCAGCTGTGTCCTTCCCCTGCTCTGTAACAGGACACCCCTCACTCTGGGGTGAGCTGGGGTGCAACACCTGTCCTGGGGAATGGGATGGTGTCCTACCCAGGCAAGGAGCAAAGAAGGGCCTGCTCAGGGCACAGCCCAGATGAGAAGCAGTTCTGACACCCACAACTGCCACTGTCCACAGGACAAGATACAAAGGACACTTGACACCCAGCGAAGCCCACACCAGTGGAGCATTCTGCACTGCTGATATCAGACTTGGGGTTCTCCTCAACCAAGAGTGAGTGCTCACGGCTACCTTGCCTGGCTTCCAAGAGGATCAGTCAGGGGCAGCATGGGGATGCTATGTCCCACACAAGTCCCCCTTCTGCTGCCCAGTGCCATCTCCCAACCCCATCCTCCGCCAGATCCTCCTTGGCAAAGGGCAACCACTGCCATCACTCATGACTTGGTTCTCACAGCACAAGAGATGGAGCCTCCATGCAGCATCCCTGGGGTTCCCCTTTGCTTGGCTTTCTGGCTGCTGGTTTATAAAACTCTGGGTCAGGCCCCCTGAGCTCATCACCCCTCAGCCTGCCAAACCTCAGGCAAACCATCCCACCCTACAGCAACCTGAGAGATCTGCAGGTCCCATCCCAGCCACCCCCAGCCTTCCTGTTGCTTCCCCACCCACCTTCTCAAATCACTCATTCTGAATTTGGCCCTGCCAGGGCCACGCTCTCCAAATCCTCCAAGGCTTTGCACAGGGCTAGAAGCACTGCCTCTCGTTCAGGTACTCCCTGTGGGCAGCTCACCTAGCCCTGAGATCCTCACCCTGGGCTGAAATCGCTGGTCCACTTCCCTTCATCCCACTAGGCTGGGGGTTGTATCAGACTCACCAGGTGAGACTAAAGCTGCAGAGGGGAGGGGAGCAGTACACTTCAGCCCTGGACCCATCTCCTTGCCCTCAGCCTCTGCTCCAGGTCAAACTCATTCCCTCTCTTACTCTGGGCTCCTTCCTGTAGAACCCAAGAGATATGTAGGGCCCTGACCTGTCCTGTGCAACCCCAGGGGAACCCTTAATTTCTCTGTGTCTCAGTTCCACACAGACCCCTTCCCAATGTAACTTACACACTGAATGGGTTACTGAGCCACAGTGCTTTGCAAAGAAGCCCTGTGTCAATACCCTGAACTCGTCCACAGCCCAGTAATCCTTGCATCTGACATTTTCACAGACAGAAGAGTGACTCTTGCAACCAGAAAGAAAAAAAAAACTCTTAACCTTGGGCCAGAGCCTGGCAGGTGGAAGTCAGGAGGGTCACCTAGGAGCCTCAGATTTCTGACCCAGTAGCACCCTCCTTTCTTGTTAGCAGGAGTCCAACCACAGGACATGCAAATCTGGGCACAAGGTCCACCTCAGAGCCACAGGCACAGGCGCATAAGCTGAAAGAGCCACCCCACCCCACCCCAACCTTGGCCAAAGAAATGCGAACACAAGGCATCCTGTCCACATTCTCAGCAGCTCTCGCCAAGACCATGATGCCAAGTCAAAGAATCCTCCCAGAGAGCCTCTGTCCCACACTGCCCAGCCCAGGCTCCTGTCTCAACAGAGCGGGTGGCACCTGCCAGATGCCATTCTGCAGGGACCTGCAAGCACCATGGTATTCTTACCCTGACCCAATTATCTCTAAATCTTCAAACTCACCCCTACCAGACCCTGTTACTGCTTCCCTTTACTGAGACTCGGGAGGTTCAGTAACCTGCCAAAGTCACACAGCCCAGAGTACCAGCCCCAGAAGGCACCCAGGCCTTCAGATACAAAGTCTGTGCCCACCGAATCATATTCCTATGCCTTGTCTTGACCTCTTGAGACCTGCAAGAAGACCCAGCCCAGACTGCAAGAGGCCTGGTCCCAGGAAGCAACTGAAGTACCTCCCTGAGGTCGGTAGACTCAAGTTTCCCCATTATGTCACAAATAGTCACACACAGGTCAGATCTGACCCAGCTGCCTCCTGGACAGAGGGAACACAGTGAGGTCCAGAGAGGGAAGTGGCCAGCATGAACTCAGTACAGTACTAGCAGTGGTCACACCAGAAGCCAGGGCTGTGACCTTGGGCTTGGCTCCTAGCCTCTCCAAACCTCAGTTTCCTCATCTATAAAATGAGCCAAAGTCCTGGCGCCTCTGATCCAGCACCTAATTCCCTGGAGTCAGCTGAAGACAGACAGACTCCACCCTCGCTGGACTCAGCAACCTCCCGAACCATAAACAGGAAGGGCAGGAAGGAGCTAGGGATAGAGGGCCCCGCAGGCAGCTGCAAGGGGTAAGGGGAGGAAGCTGCTCTGGTCCCAGGAGACCTGTCCCATGTCCCCCACCCGCCCCAAAATGGGACCAGGACTGCTAAGGGTGGAATCTCCCCAAGCAATTCAGGTGGCCCTGGGTAAGATAATATCTTTTTTTTTGAGCTTTGGTTTCCTCGTCTAAGAAACTAGGAGAACTAAAAGCCCCGCCAGCCCGGCCCGCCCCCAGCCCAAGGTGCTCACCGGGGCCGACTTGGACGCTACTGCAAGTAAGCAGCCCACGCGGCGGGGAGTCGCGGCCGCTGCTCCCGCGGGCCCGGCCCAGAAGGGGCTCCGACTCGTCCTGGGACTCCGCCATCAGGTGGCCGGCAGCGGCACGCGACCGGCAAGCCTCCACTGCGGGTCCACTGCTCCACTGCGCAGGCGCGCGACTGACCCGGGAGGCAGAGCGACCACACTATAACGCAAGCGAAGTGCTTAACTGCCGGCCAATGAGAACAAAGAGTTCGTGCGTGGGGCGGGGCTCCGCATTCTCTACAGACAGCGGAGGTTAGGACCCGCCAAAGTCTGGGGCTGAAACCTGATTTGAGTCCTCCCCGACCCACTGAATCCGAAACCCTGAGGTCATTTGTTTTGGTTTTGATTGATTTTTTTTGTGGATTTTTGTTGTTGTTATTATTGTTACTCGTTTTTTTGAGACAGGTTCTCACTATGCAGTTCAGACTGACTGTGAACTCACCGTGTATGGTAGGCTGGCCTCAAACTTGGTAGCACCCCAAACCCTGCCTCTGCCTCCTTAGTGCTGGGCTTACAGGCGTCCATCACCTTGTCACCATGCTTGATTTTAACCTGCATTCTGGGTGATTAAGTTGCATGTAAGTTTTGAGTGCGTGGTTCCAAAATGGACCTTGAATTTATCTACAGGTAATGAAATTAGGGAAACTAAATATAATTAGGAGGGTAAAATTTTAAAACACAAACGACAAGCTGAAAAATATTTACACACATAATAGATGTTTTCTACGTTAATTTAAAAAGCTTGTGATGCTCTTCTATTGCTGCGATGACAAATTTCCGCCAACAGCATAGAACAGCACGTGTACTAATACTGGGACAATAGGAAATTTGCGTGGCGCCTCAAAAGGATGATCACAAACTCTTAAAGTGCCCCGTGCTATGCACCTTGAGACCGTTATATTTATATTAAGTGAAATAAATCAGACTCAAGTTTAAATAGCCCACCGTTTCTCTTACATGAGAAACCCAAAATATAAAGAGCAAGATAAAAGATAATAGGAAATAGGGAGATCTTTTGTAAAGGGAAAGGGGAATGAGAAAGAGAGGGGAAGTGTGGCGGATGAAAAAAGAAGATATGTTATGTACACGAACCAACTCCCCTCGATTGGACCATTATGTACTGCAAACTAATAAAAAAATAAAACAGCACTGAATAATTCCCATCCGCTGTTAGTCTTTGTTGGGCGCAGGCGCTCAACACACCCCGCCCGGGACTAAGGACCACGTCAGCTTCCGCAATGCGCTAACGTCCCTCTCCAAATTAGCCACCCTGTGCTCACTTCGTATTCATCACAGCTGAGTATATTAGCCAGAGCCCGCATCTCATTCCAGCCCTTCCTCCTCGTGGCAGCCCTCGTGGCAGCCTGATTGGCCACAGTCAGATATATAAGCCAGAACCCGCAACAATAAAGTTGGCAGTTCCTGTTACCACCTGAAGCGTCTCCTGTTTCATTGGGGCTGCGCCGGTCAGTCTTGAGGGTCAGAAGTCCAGCAGCTGAACTTTTAAGTGTGGCCACTTTGGGTTCTTGTCTGCAGTCAGGAAAATCCAGTTCCAGGCTCACCCAGCTGCTAGCAGAACTGGTTTCCACGGGGCAGAGGTGCACATTCACTTGCTGCTGGATGTTGGTCTGGGTGGTTCTCAGGGGCCCCGTCCATCATCACTGTCAGCAAGAACAGACTGAATCCTTTGTCTTCAAATGAGATGCTGCAAGGTGCAGCCAGGCACTCAGATCCTCTGGCTTCCCCTCCTGCTGCATCTCTGCATCTTTTCCTCTCATTTGGGGAAGAGGAGGGGTTTAAAACATACATTTATCATATTCTCCTCTTTTTTTGTATGTATGGTAGTGAGGATGATCCTAGGGCCCCACACTAAGGTCTTTTTTAATTTTTTGAGACAGGATCTTGTTAAGTCATTAAATTTTCCAAGTTAGGCCCAAACTTGTAATCCTCCTGCCTCAGCCTGTCAGAGCGATAAGATTTTAAGTGTGAGGCTCAGGGATATTATGCAACTGACACCATCATCTGTCTCCAGAACTCTTTTGAAAAACTGAAACTGTACCATCCTCAAAATTGCAATTTAGTTTCATGATATTTTTTTCAAGACAGGGTCTCACTATGTAGTTCAAGCTGTCCTCAAACTCACCATGTAGCCCAGGCTGGCCTCGAATGTACTGTGACCTCCTGCCTCCGCCTCCCAAGTACTGGAGCACAGACCTGGCTTGGTTTAATGATCTTAAATGGCTTCAACTTCAATTCTGGAATCAGGCAACACTGCATTTCATAAGACATTCCCAATATATGTTTCAGTGAGCTGAGTAGAAGAGATTGGGTTTGTGGACAGAAAAGAGCTGAAGAAAGCAGATGAGATAGGTCATTTCAAAGTTGCTTGCTTTGTGAGGAGAGGGCAGGGAAAGAGAGAGCCATAGGAAAAATAACTAAGAGAACTTCGTTACTTACCAATTGCAACTGGCCTGTTTGGGAGATTTGGCTGCTGTCTATCTAATCCCAATTTCCCCAAAAGGTCAAATAGTTTAATTTCAGGTTGGTGAAGTGAACTTTAGAGGGGCTCATGGGATCCAGCACAGGGCTTTAGCCAGAGGAGTAGCCTCCTGTCATTATTATTTAACACCACTGAACACTAAATCCCTCCTCCCTGGCAACCCCATTCCAGTTTGTTTCTAGGATTTTGACCACGTCCTATTCTAAGCACCTCCCTTAAGTGTGCACACCATTTGTCCTTTTATGACTTGCTTCCTTCCCTTAGCATCATGACCTCAAGATTCATCCTTGTTAGAGTGGCAGAATTACGTCCCTTTTTTCCAACTGAATAACATTTCATTTTGCTGATGCATCATCCACCCCCGAGCAGCTCCCGTCTCCTGCCTGTAGTGAGGGACACTGCCATGAACAGAAAGGTATGCGCGTCCTTTTGAGACCTTGCTTTCATTTTTGAGGACCATGGACCCAGGAGAGTTTGAACTGAAATTCTTGGATGAGGCTGCATCAGAAACTGCACCATATGGCTTGATCTGGGTTGCGAACATCAAAACTGAGGAGGCACTATAGGTCAGATGGAATGCTGTAGTCGGGAACCAGCACTGTCCTGGGCTGCAGTGCAGTCCGTTACTTTGACTTCTGTATCTGACCTAACATTCCTATGACTCATAAATAAACTTGGAATGCATCTCCAAGCTTAGCAGACCTCTAGCTCCCCCACGCTTAAAGCTAAGAATGCACTACAGTAACATCTGAAGCCCGTGGAAAGCGTGTCCTTACCTGGTGTGGCCCCTAGTCTGACGCCCCCACCCACATGATTGGAAAACTTAGTGATCTGTGTCTTTCTTTTGTTCTGTAATTGAAAGTCCGCCTACCCTCTTCCAGGATGGAATGTGTCCTTCAGGATAAAAGATCACTCTTTGGGAAAACGTCAGTTTAGCACTTTTGTCCAGTTTTGAATCAGGTGTTAGAGGCTTTTTGTTTTGCTCTTGTTGAGTTTTAGTTCCCTATTCTGTGCAAAAAATCATACATTAGATGTATGATTTACAAATACTTGTTCCCAGGATGAAGGGTAAAATTAGTGTCTTTTGAGGGGGTTGGTGCTTTGTTTTGAGAATGCAGTTCAGGCCTTGAACTCACCCTGTAGCCCAGGCTGGTCTCAAACTTGCAGCCATCTCCCTGCCTCAGCCTCCCAAGTGCTGGGATTACAGCCGTGTACACTGTGCCCAGATCCCATTGTCTTTGAAGTGTACCATGCGCGAGTGTGTGCGTGTGTGTGTGTATGGTGCTGGGAATGAAATTTCAGGGCTTTGTGCATGTGAAGCAAGAAAGCGACCACTAAGCCCTTTATGTGCAAATTTTGTCATTGTCAGTAAGTCCAGTAGGTCTGTTCCGCTGCTTGTGATTTTGATGTCATAGCCAGAAAAATCATTGTCAGGTCTGTTGTCAGGAAGCCTTTGCCCCAACCTCTTCTAAGATCTCTTTGTTTTTAATGGCTCATGTGACTGTATTTAGCTTACTGGATAATTCCAGACAATCTCGCTATTTTAAAAACAGCTGATCTGTAGCTTTCTTCCTGCAGAACTTCTTTGCCATCTAATCTAACCTAACCAGGGGCACAATGCTAGTGGTCAAAGTGTTAGGGCCGACGCCGCAGGGAAAGAGACCCCAAGGACTCAATTCTTGGTGAGGGAAAAAAGTTTATTTCCATGCGCATGGGGTCCCCCAGGCAAACAAGTGCGGAGGGGCCCCGAAGGGGAATTGTGTAGGGTTTTTAAGGGCGCAGGGAGGCAAGCGAATTTACAGAAGCAGATTGCATTGGTTAATTTTGAGCAGGATAGGACTTGGCAGAAGTTGATTGGAGGGGTTTGGGGTTGAGTAACCATGGAGACTGGGGGTCCTAGCCCAGTCACTATGTGCCCAGAACAGAACAGTTACTTGTCTTACTTATCTCCTTGAGACAGAACAACCTTGCAGGTGCATTTTTTCTTTTTTTTTTTCCTCTGCTCTGATAGCTCTGGGGAGTTAGGCATTTCTTTCTGCTCTGCTCTGATAGCTCTGGGGAGTTAGGGAGTTAACCCTTTTATTCCCCGCTCTGGGGAGTTAGGGAGTTAACCCTTTCATTCCCCGCTCTGGGGAGGGGGTTATAGCAGGGGGGTCAACTCTCACATTCCCCCCTTTTCTTTTTTGATGACTTTTAATCTTAAAGGTCCTGTATTGGTAAGGGGTCATACTGTTGACGTAGCATCATAACCTTTACTTGAGAGATCTGAGCCCTCACAAACTGGGTTACTCGGTTAATGAGGTAAGGGGCTATAGCCATGACTATAATGAATCCAGCCAGGGGTCCCAGTAAAGGGAGAATATAGGGCAGGATTGATTTCCAGAAGGAGAACATTTTGGCTTTATTTGAAGGGGGCTCTTGAGATTTAATTTTTTTCTCTTAGCTTTTTTATTGCATCTGTTTATAACCTTGTATGTGTCTTTAAAATCACAAGCTTTTAAGAACGTTGACATAGTTTATCAACTTGTTTACAACATAAGGCCCAGTAGGAGGATTAACAAAGGTCTTGTAGCTGTCATTAAAGCTGTTAACCAAAAGGAGAAAGAAAACCAACATTTAAATTTACTCTGTTTTA